ACATGCATCTTATTGAAATTAAATTAAAAAAAAAACATATGTTTTGTTCAAATTGTTTTCTGAAATTGACAGTTTATGTTTAGTGAAGGAGGTATGGTCAATCTGCTGTAAATAGAAAAGACATTACGTAAATGAAAGACATTACATTAATGAATTACACTCATGGCAGGGCTTGAAGAAGCAAATAATAAATTTTGTTTTAGTTTTCAACTACCATCATGAAAAAATGCCAAGTAGAATCTTGACAAATTGTATAAAATATCAATTCTTAATTTATCTAATGTGGAAGCTGAGACTATATGTATTGAACTTTCTTCAAGTTTCCACAATGTGGAAACCATAGTATACTAATTGTCTATCAAATGGTTAGGCACGCTGAAACCATTCATATACTTCAAGTTTCATCAAGATTCCGCAATGCGGAAACCATAGTATGCTGCATGTATATCAACTGTTTACGCATGCTGAAACCTTACATATTCTTCAAGTTTCATCAAGTTTCAGTTGCGGAAACCATTTGGATTCGTGGACACCTTAAGTTTCCGCACTGCGGAAACTTGATGAAACTTGAAGTTTCAGTACTGAAACTTTGCGGAAACTATTAGGAAGCTTAAGTTTCCGCAGAGTTTCAGCAGTGTTTCAGCCATGCGGAAACTGTTTTTTTCATCCAGTGGTGAACTCAGATTTTTTTTTTTTTGTTTAATTGTGCCCATCATTATTTTGAATAAAGAGAACAAGTTTTAGCCATTCAAAAGGAATTGGACCCTATTGGTGTTTTGGAAAGAAAACAGAGGCGTCTAAAGAGAAGAGTATATCATAACAAAGGACCTAATTATCTTTTACATGTGGATGGGTATGATAAGCTTAAGAGGTTTGGATTTGCTATTCATGGATGTGTTTGTGGGTATGTGTTATAAATTTCTGTGTTATGTATCACATGTTTCAATATTACCAGTATTAAAATATATGTAACAAAAGAAATAGTTTCATGCCAAGAATGCTTTCGCCACAACTGAAACACTTGCTGTCAGTGCATTAATACAATTCCTTGGTTGATATGTAAAAGTGCTCATTGTCAAGACCAAAGAGCACGTTTGCAATCATATATTTGGTAATGTATGTTTCATAAAGAAAAATTTACACTGTTCTGTTCTATTTTAAAAATATTTCCTCACATATCTTTTTCAAAGATTTTCAAGGCGTGTGTTGTGGCTAAAAGTAGGCAGATCAAACAATGATCCCAGGGTGATCGCTTCATATTTTTTGGATTTTTTAAAAGAAATTAAAGGTAAGGTCACTCTTCCATATTTTTATGACAAGTTTGAAATACTTGAAACATTTTCTAAAGAAAAAACATTAATGTAGATGTTAATTGTGTTTGAAAAATCTGTTATCTTTCAATTAAGTAAAAACTTAATCCATAAGAAATAATGGATCAGCTTTAATTGAATTTAGTGCATTAAGCAAAGTAACTATAGGTGAACATAAAATATGATTTTTTTATGATCTCATGGAGTATGTAGACTTTATAATGTTGGGTCCATGAAAGAATCATTATGATGAAGTTTCAATGAATCTTCTTCACTTCCTCAAAGCATCTATGAGATTTTTATCATAGAAAACAATATGTATAACAGTAAATAAACTTTATACAGCAAGTTTAATTGATTATAATATATGATTTAAAATATATGCCTTAACTGCAACAATTTTAATCATATCTTAATAATTGCTGTAAAATTAAAGGTTATAAACATGGATAATATGAATTTTTGCATATATAGAATTGATTTAGACCCATGCACTAGCTCTTATCATGTGAATTGTGCATATATTTATTCTCGTGCTAATTAAAAGTGGGATTCTAAAATAATAAACATATTACCAGTTACCGGTATATCAGTGCTTTTATGGTCAATTTAATGACTGCATGGTTTTAACCACCCTCCTCTCTATCAATATGTATTGAATTAAAGGAGTTCCTAGGTGTATCAGATCAGATGAAGGAACAGAAAACTGTATCATAGCTGATATTCAACGGGCCTTTCGGTGGTACCATGATGATGATATGGCTGGGGAGAGAAGTTTTCTAACAGGATCATCACCTTCAAATCAAGTATTATAAACATTAATATGTCTAAATTAATTTTACATAATTTGTAATTAAACAGTATGTAATATGAATTAAAAATGAAACAACTAATCCCAATAAATGTTCTCGTTTGCTCCGCTTCAGAGAATAGAACGATGGTGGTTGTCAAACAAACAAGGTGGTGGACAATTCTGGATGGAGTTTTTTAGCAATTTAGAGCACATAGGAAAGTTTTCCACCACAAACCATGTTCAACTGTAAGTTCTTTCACCAAAAAAAAAAAATGGATACAGTACACTTTCATACTAGGATCTATAGATCTCATTAATTGCATGTTCAAATTTTAAATGCTAGACACAAAATTTCAATTTTGGATTAATCCAGACTGATTATGTGGACTTCCATTTAATTCTTTGTGATGAAGAGGTATAGTGATGGAGGCCATGTAAATTTCATGTCTCTATATATATGCATGCCTGCATTGCTTTTGTCCAAAAGATTGCAATTAAGGAATTAAGAATTTAGATTGATCTGGGTTTACAGATTTCCTCAAAGATGGGTTATTGTCAACAGTGTGGCTTACATGTAACACTGTTTGCTTTTCATATAGACCCTTCCTTTTACAGAAGTCGTATATTAGGTACAGCAAAATCAAAAGTATGCACATTTTTCTTCCTATGATATTAAAATTGAGTCAATATGCTCATTGAAGTATTAAATACTGGTAAAAAACCTTCTTTGGAAACCTAAAATCACCAATAAAAAACCAAAGATGAAGGATTTTTATATAAATGAATAAGTACAGAAATAATTTTTTTACTTGTAAGATTTAATTAAAATTTGTCATAAAAGATGTAAGACTAATTGTTATGCTTAAATTAAAATGACACCTCTACAGGACTAAATCAGTTCTATATGATTATCAAGAAATTCAAAATATATACGAGTTCATTATAACTCTAAATTTTACAGGAATTATGAAGAATTTTCCCAGGGAAACCACAAAGTTTCCTGATTTCATGATATGCATGTGCATTTGTATTAAACAAGTTAAATTGTTTTTTTTTTGTGTCTTATAGCCTTTTCATGTTTAAATATAGGTCTTATCTTGAGTACTCTACAAGGCCTAGGGTCTGATCAGTTAATGAATCATTTTTAGCTCACCTGAGCTGAAAGCTCAATTGAGCTTTTCTGATCACCTTCTGTCCGGCATCCATCTGTATCTGTCCGTATGTTTGTTTGTAAACTTTTCACATTTTTTACTTCTTCTCCAGAACCACAGGCCAATTTTTAGAAAACTTGGCAGAAAGCATCCTTAGAGTTTGTTAAAATGAAGAGCCACACCCTCTTTCAAGTAATTGAAAATTTGTAGGCCTTTTAAAAAATCTTATCCAAAAGCATTTGGCCAGAAAAGCTTTAACTTGTTGTAATCATGTAATGACAATGGCATCAGGACTTTCAATATTGAACCTATTACTGTGTGGATGCATCCTTAGGTAGTGTAGATTCAAGCTTGTTCAAATCGTTCCCCAGGGTAATGTTGGGCCACAATGGAGGGGATGGGGGTTGAATTTTCACATAGGAATAAATAGAGAAAAATCTACTTTTAAGGTGGTTTGGGACACCTGTTGATATGAATGTGGATAATAGTACATAGTAATCAAAATACTCTCACCGTTTTAAAATTCTGCAATATTTTATGAAAAAAAAATTTTTTGAAAGGTAAAAATTACACATAATTAGGCCCAGCGGGATTCGAACTCATGACTTACAAATTGGCAGTTAACGCTCTAACCCATTGCGCTACGTTGTTGTTAGATAACAATTTTAGGAAAGACAATTTGTATATAATTATACTCGATTTTATTGTTTATAGAATATAGGAAGTACAGTACATCACAATATGGAGGTGTCCATACCATCTTTAAAAAATATGAAAAAATATGAAATGACAAAATAGGCTCAATGTTTATGTGGAGAAAAATTTGAAGATCTTTTTAAACATGATCTTGTAGATGACTAAATTGGCAAGATATTTTGTAATCGATACCATAAAGCTGAATTGATCAGAGTTAAAATATGGCTATACATGGTGGCTCAGATGAGCAATGTGGCCACTCAGGGCCTCTGGTTATAATTGTTTGACTGTGTGGTTTGAGCTGTGATCTTATAGTACATTACTGTTACGCCTCAATTTAGAGATCTTCCCGGTTGGGTGGAAGGTCTGGCATGTCTGAAAGTTCCATGTATAGGTCATGATGTTTGACTTTGGGAGTAATTTATATATAATAGGCAATCTATTCCTGAGTTATTATATCTTTCATAATTGTGACTCAATCACCAATTATTAGCTTATAGATACATACCCCGGTACATGCATTGCATCATATGCAACATTCAATTTCGAGTGTTTTGCATGCAAGAGTCTGCATGTATATAATTATACATCTGAATTGAGGGGGTAGGGGTCTCTTTTATTTTGAGCATCCCAAACAGAGAAACAATTGCATAAATTAGTTTTCTGCTGAAAAAGAACACTGCATCTTAATTACAGGGAATGTCTGCGATTCTGTTTCACAAAACTTGTTCAAGATGATCTAAATAAATGTGCTCAAGAGTGGAATCAACACAGAATTCGACACACAAAGTCTGCAGGACTGCCTGGTGGAAAACCAGATTTGATGTATTATCTTCCAGAGTTATATGGTAATTAAGGAAATATATGTCTTATTTCTCCTAATTTTAATTTGCATACATCAAGATCAAAGCAAATTGTATATAGCTATATAAGGTTAGTTCGGTCAAAGTACCGGGTAGGTAAATTGTATATAGCAATATAATGTTAGCTTGGTCAAAGTTGATAATTACAGTTAGTAAGTCTGGTGTTTTTATTTGTTCTAATATCGAT